AATCACATTTCCTTTTATTTTCTTGGTAAGACTGCTTCAATACAGGTCAGGCAATGGTGCAGGTGTGGCAAGGAATCTGTCAAAATATCTCAGGATGTCCTTGGGGACCAAAGGAGATCTGAGCTAGGCATAAGCCTATTTGTACCTGGTCATCAACTGTACCCAGGGTGGGATTAAAATTAATTTGGAGAAAAGTTTCTCTCCTGAAATGAGATAGCACCATGGAGATCAGGTTGAAGATCATCAGGTCTATGATTATTTATTGAACACTTATGATGGACTGCATCTCCATGATGGTAGCTGAGGTGCATCTTTAACACATAGTAGAACTCCTGCCCTCTTATCCTCTTTGTAATAAGGAATTTTTTTTTTAAGAGCACAAGCATGTGGGCATGCAAATGTGCAAGTTGGGGAGGGGCAGGAGGAGAGAGAGAGAGAGAGAGAGAAAATCTCAAGCAGGCTCCACCCTCCGCACAGAACCCAATGCGGGACTTGATTTTATGGCTATGAGATCATGACCTGAGCTGAAATCAAGAACCAGAGGCTTAAATGACTGAGTCACCAGGCACCCCTTTTTTTCCTTTTCCTTTTTCTTTTTTTTAAAATAGGCTTCATGCCCAACGTGGGGCTTGAACTCATAACCCTGACATCAAGAGTAACATGCTTTACTAACTGAGCCAACCAGGTGCCTTGTTGGATTGACCAAACATCTGAGCTTCCTCTGAGTGCTGGGCATTATACAAGAGAGAGGGGGGGAAGTCAGACTACCATACCTTGGGCTCATTTTACAGATGAAAGCTGAGGTTCAGGGAGGTTGGGGAACTTGCCCAGGTCCATGTGGTCAGTACATTAGTTTGAAGCCCTGCACATGGGTCCCAAGTGTTTAGGTTCAGTCCAATCCAGATGTTGCTCACCAACCACATAGATATAAAGGCTTTGGAGTCTTAGATGATGTCAACCATCAACATTGGAATTAATCTGATTCTCTGTGGTAAAGCTGTCATGATACTGATGGGCAGAAACGAGACCAAAGGCTTGGCTTGGTGAACAAAAGGGAAATAACATGAGAGGCAAGGAGGTTCATTCAACCATCCTTTAAACATCTACCCTGTGGCAGACCTGGGCTGAGCGCCAAGAGTAGAGATGTGAAGATCAGCTAGTTTCTGTGCCCAGGAACCCACAGTCTGGTGTGGAGATGGTGAAATTCAGTGTGACAGTGGTTTTGTAGAAGAGTAACTCAGATTGCTGAAAACACCA